CCGTATCTGCTCAGCGATCTGGTGAAGGTGAAGGAGTTGGCGATGTTGTAGGCAGAAACCTGCTTCTGGACGAGCGCCACCACGGAGCCGTCTGTTACCTAGCAATGCACAGTGAAACATCAGCTAGTCAGCCAATCGCTCCATCAATCAGCTGACTAATTATCCGTTCAGCCAGTCGATTCTTATCCCGTCCACAATCTTGATAAAATCCACACGTGCCGCTGCAGGAGCTGATGAAGAACACGAACTTGCTCGGAGCTCAAACAGAGAGCGAGGGTGCACAGGCCGCTGAGATTTTAATAAATCGGCAAGAGGAAATGTTTTCAATCTGCAGCTGCACAGTCATTTTACGAGTGCCGTTTAAGTATTATGAAGTGGACTGACTGTATACTTACATTAGACCATTCTTTCATTCTATTACATCTTCAACAGTCTTCTTAATCCTCAAAATGATCTTATACTGTATGTGTATTAGATTACATTGTGTTTTAAGTAAGCTACACTATATCACAATACTTCATGCAATAGAATTTTATGTTGCCTTATACTATATAGTATGTTCCATTACATTATGTTAAATATAAGAGTTTTCCTGGATAATGTCACGCAAATCAAAGCTTTGGTGCTGTCTGGGTTCAAAGGTTTGGCTTGTGGTTGTCAGTAGTTTCAAACTGTCTAATTTTCAATTCTTTCTTGTATTTGTGAAAGAAAACTGAGAAGATTTATTGACTTCTTCAAGTAAAACACCTGTTCTTTTCACCAAACAACATGTTCGGCTGGTTTCTGTAACAAAGCAATGCTTCCCATTAGTGTGCAAAAGTCAGGAATTCCACTAAGCTATTAATGAAAGACTTATATGTAATCTTACATAAGGTCTTCAGTTATTAACACAATGGTGCTAAAATCAGGGGTGGAAATATGAACACTACCTTCCTTTTTACTGTATAGTGGAGACATAACCCAACCTGCTGCTGGTAGAAATCTAACTGCACTTTTAAAGCTCTCGACAATTGTGATTGGTCTGTTAAGCACCATTGATTCCAGCTGTGATGTTCAGGATACTTTTTGCTGGAGTGTTTGGGAAAAACGTGTGAATACCACTCTCCAAACATTTTATTTGTCTCCATCGTGCACACAAGTGACTGGCGGCAGCAGCATCAGCCACTTGTGCAGGTTACGGTGTAGGCTGTACAGAAATCAGCCGACAGACCGAGGACAGAAACACAGACTAAATACATACAAGGAGTGAAGGGAAGAGGGGAATTAAAGCACTGTGGGACAAGAACAAAGAAAGGAATAAAAAATAGGGAAAATAATAATAAATGGTATTTATGTTAACTAGACAAGATAAACAGTTAAAAGTTTCTTTACTGAAAACGTTTCAAATGTGGAGAAAATATTATATTCTTACTAAAAGGTTTCATGTGGATGAAACTGCTAACAAACAAACTTTCAGGTGATCTCTGCAGTAAATGCACGTCTGTACCTGGTAGTGCGCCAGCGTGTTGAGTCTCTTCCAGTCGCTCTCTATCTTAGTTGTCACGTCTTCGTCCTGCAGGATGATCCTTGTGAGCCGACCCTGACGCCACTCTGACATCACGAGCACAGACAAAGGATCAGAGAACTGTCCACCCAACCCCGAACTGCAGTCGTGTTTTAAATGAACTGGGCTTAAGTTTGACGACTCTCTGCTGGAGTATGTAACTGATTTATTTTTACTGACATTTTATTATTTACTGAAATTCTGATGAATGGGGACCTATTCTCCTCATTTTGTCATTCATACATGTATTCACCTAATTTAATACAATTATTAGATACACAAGTATATTTTGCAGGTATCGTGTGTCTCAGAAGTTGCATTTACCAAGAACTCATGCGTAGTGACTGTTTACTCGGTGGTACAGGGTTTTTTATTTTTCCCCCACTAGGGATAAATTAGCATCCCCCGACTGGTTTGTAAGCAGTGCTGAGTTTGCTGGCTGTCTCTAGGTAAAACCAGCCACAGTGGTTGTGGTTTCTAGCAACTGCTGCAGGCAACTTGTATAAAATAATTATCGCTCAACTATTTGCTGAGATGCAGAAAAACTGTGAAAGGTGCAATACAAACTGGAACTGAAGTAAAAGTAGTGCTGTGTAACTGTAACAGTCCATTTTAAAAGATGGCTTTGAAGGCTAACGCTTCCTCTTTCTGGTTTGCATTGCGGTTGCCACCAGTTTTGCCTGTTTAGTACCAGCAACTCTAACCGCTTGCCAACCAGTTAAGGAAACATTTTTATCTAGCCACAGTGGTTGCCAGGAAGTTGCCAACTGGTCTTTAGTCCTGTGTAACTGGGGACTAACTAGCAGCTGGCAGGTTGTTGGGGACATTAAACCCCATCACGCTGAAGACAGGACCTGAGTGGTGATGGTGACGTTAAACTCACTGAGTAACAGTAGCGTCTTACATATAGCAATTGCAATTATGTCTCAAAAACTAGAAAAACAACATTGACTTGTAGATGTTATGCTGTTAAACAAGAAAATATTTTCTGAGCTAATCCAAAGTTTATGTAAAAATCACATCACAGCCACAGAGATGTCATCCATTGGTTAGCAAAGTCCTTTCATAAGTTATAAACCAGTGAACGTACCCGACTGTAGCCACCTTTGTGACTCCGGTAACGACCATTATTACCAAAATAATCTCATGTTCTATTTAATTAGGCTTTGAAACAGCACGGAGGCCACACACTGAGTGACAACTTTGAAACAGCAATACTTCTATCTGCATCCAGTGGAGTCGCCCCCTGCAGGCTATTAGAAAGAATGCACTTTGCAGATGAAAAGCTGCATCCATGTTTTATACTGTCTGCGCCTTTTCTTGAAGTAGGATATCTGTCAGTAGTTACCCAAGTCCATGTCGTCGGCCTGAGGTCTCTGCGAGTATGGGATTCCTTTGTAAACAGCGTCCAGCAGTTTGTCTTTGACCTGAGTGACTGTGTCGCAGTTCAGCACCTTCACTGGCACCTCAGTCCCAACTTCACCCTCAGGGGGGATGCACATCAGCGTCTGAGACGGCGAGAGAGAAAGCAGAGACTCATCTGTCTGCACCAAACTTTATTAAGCTGCTGCTTGTGTGTTTACCACAGTGTTGTCACAGCGAGGAAAACGTCACTGGCTGTTAAATTGGATATTTTTAACCACACACACAGTCTTTTCGAGGACCCTCACTGACTTAACAGTGAGGGTCCCCCACACACTCCCCCCCCACACACACACACGCCCTTTACATAATTTATAATAATCCCCAGCTGGTGTGTCAAACACTGAACTTTCATTCGCCGCAGACCCCCGACAGAAAACAACGCCGAGTGGTCGTAAACATCCTGCTTCTGTGCTTCAATGATGCTTGTTGCTATGGATACAGTGAACGCAACAAAATCCACTTTGTGGTGAGTTAAAGGACTCATCTGTAACACGTTATAAGGGAGCCTGCAATTTACAGGGTGAGTTTATTGTATGAATCAGGTACCAATAAAACACTGCTGGTTCCTGCTGCAAAATTATGGGGAACAAGTCAGTAGCCAGCTGTGTATTTCAAATAAAATAAGAAACATATTGTACTCATACACTCACACACTACTCAGCTATATCGTATAGCACGCAATTAAAGACTAACACAGACTGTTCTGGAAAGCACTGCCTCATTTAGCGATATAAATGTTTGTTTTGAGGTTATCAATTACAAAAATTGTATTTGTTTTCTATGAAATTGATTTTTATTAACAGATTAAGTCTAAATTAGTTAAATTAACACAAATTATTGACCTTGGGTAAACGTGGAGGGAACAAACAAGCAAGACAGCTGACAGACTGAGAGCTCTGGCTTAAACGTGCTGCTATAGCATAAACTTATACTGCATATTTCAACACTGCTATTCACTGAAAAACCCCCGACATGGCGTGCTGTCATTTAAAATCTTTCTGTTGGGCAATGATACAAAAGGTGCCTGTCAACAAAACAAAGATTTAATGGAGGTAACATCACATTAGAGCTTCACTTCATTATTCAAGGCATCTAAATTAATGAATTCATTTAAAAAAATCATAAATATCTACAGAAGATTTTTTAACAAATTTAATTATTTCCATTTGTCATTGCATATTTTTAATAGATGGCTTTTTTGGGAAGTTAGTTTAGGTCAAGTCAAAAATCAATTACCCGGTTTGTTTCCAGTATAATGTGTTATTATGGACACGCTGTTATGTTTAGCATTTAGCCGTCAATGGGCCACGAGGACTTGGGTTACTGAAGTGAAGATGATGTATGATTGAAGCTTACATGTCCTTAGCCCCAGATCTTTAAACTGGAAAGTAATGTGAATAAATATGTAGCGTTTTTTTTCTTTTTTAAACGGCCGTGTGCTTTATTTCATCAAATTTCTCTAGGAATGACTTGACAAAGCTAAGGCTGGAAATGTGGTTTATAACTAATAAACAAAACTACCAAAATATGGTGAAACCAGCAGTCTATTCTCACCGCAGCTGCACTCAGTCACAGCTCAAACTGCTGTATTTAATTTTGGTTGGTGTGGGTGCGCGTGTGCGTTACCAGCTGTTTGTAGTCGATCTGCTGTCGGATGAGTTTGTCTTCACTGAGAGAATAACGAGCTTCTCCGGTGATGGCGTCAATCGGTCCCTTCTCCATCTGCTGCTTTATGGCACAATACAGCATGAAGAGAGGCTCGCCCGCACACTCCTGAAGGACAGGAAGAGGGGAGGGGATGAAGGGAAGGAGGGGAGATTTTTTTTAAAAGGAGGAAAGAAGAGAAGGAGGAAAGCCAGGTTTATTACTACAGTTTAATCCTCAAAACTCATCAGGGGGATTTAAGCCAATCCCCTTCATTCCCTATGAATAAATTAGCTGCAGCTCTGATCTGATTGGTCACGCTCAGAGCTGAGAGGCAGACTTTAATGAGGTCAATTAGGGGGAGCAGGAGGAAAGGTAGGAAGGAAGGAAGGAAAAAGCAGAGAGGATGGTGTACCTTGAGGAATCGATGGAGGAGGAAAGTGAACCAGTTCGTCAGCATCTTCTCAGCAACAGACTCGGTCCTAAACACATATATACAGGTCGGAGGTCATTAGTGAAAACATTAACTCCTGCTCTTTCCTGATTGGTCACATCAAATTGGACAGGAAAAGCTTAATGAGGTCAGTTAGAGAGCAGGAGGCAGGGATTTGGGGGTTGAAGGAGGAAAGACAGGGCTGCTACACCGGCTTCATAAACAAGGACTTTTATTCTGAAGTAGCTCTTAGACATGGGATGCGACACATTCAGTGCAGGCTGTTACTCAGCCAGACGTGGATTCATTCAGCAGATCAGCTTTAATATTCCAGGTGTGACCACCCACTCACACTGAAAACAGTCAAACTTAAAGTGAACAGCAGGGAACGCACCTCCTCAGCAGCAGTTTGGGATGGTTTCTGTTCTCCAGGTTTTTCTCAATCAGGTCGGCCAGCAGCTGTTTTAACACCACTGTAGCATATTCCATCCGACCCTGAAGAGGCAAAGACAAAGACTTTAACCGCTCAGCAATTATTTACATTTTTTTTAACTCATAATAGGTTTACAAGCCTCTACTGCTATCACTACAGGTGTAGTAACCAGCATAATTAGCAGGCTGTAGCACGGTGACAGATACCTGCAGAGCAGCCATGAGCAGGGAGGCGACGTTCCCCCTGTCTCTCATGGAGAACGACCTCTGAGCCTCCAGCGTGTGGATGAAGGTCAGCAGGAACATCTTGTTGTTCAGCAGCTGGCTGAAGAGACGCAGAGCTTTCTCCACATTGGCTGGAGACTAAACAGATGCATGTGCACTTAGTTATTTAAACACAAACAGAGAGTCGTCTCACCAAGAGGTCAGGTCAGAGGTTAAAGATAACATCAGTAAACCAAATAAACATCAACAAATCCACAGTGATATAAATATAAATTCATTATTTAGTTGATAAATCTAAATAAACTAGAAAAATCCTAAACAACCCCCCAAAACCTAAGACCTAAACATGTGGAAATAAATCAGAACAAGGCAAGTTAACCAAGCTAGGACTGAAAAAAGACGAAATTTGTACAAGTGGTTATTAATCTGAAAAACCATCAGAAATTTAAATGGATTTAATAAATAAGCCCGGAGGATGAAAGAAGGAAAGAGCAATAAACTCAACCAGATGACAAAAGCAGAATGAACCTGAATAAACATGAACAAACCTGACAGATGTGGAATAAATCTAAGTAACCCTGAACAAATATAATAAATGTAAGTAACCCTGAACAAAGAACCAAACTGAAATAGGAAAAAATGTGAAAAAATAAAAAATAAAAGATGAACAAATCTGTACAACAGACAATAAACCTAAAGATATGAATGAGAATAACCTTCAATAAAACTGACAAAGTTCAAAAACAAAACCTGAAAACAGAACTAAACAAATTTCAATAAACCTAAAGGGGAAATAAATATGAATAAACATAAAATGTTTGAATAAACCTGGTTAAACTAAATAAAATTAGAATAAATATAAATAAAAGATCACAAATATAAATGTCTAAGCCTGAAAGAAGGAGATTTTGTCTTTTTTAAAAATAGAAATAAATAGGAATAAACCTAAAAAAAACCCAAAACAGTAATAATCTACAGAAATAATTTAAATATAAATCCACAAGCAGGGAAGAAAAACTAATCTCTGGAAATTATAGTTCACTAAGTTTAGGAAAATCTTTCCACCTGTGGGCTGATTTGCTGCCACACCCTGTTATTATGATCAGGGAAAAATTGTGGATCCAGAGACTCAAAGATCCGAACATCCTGCCGTATTGAACATACGTCAAGCTCTTTGAGGACGGGGTGTTCTTCTATCCCAGGGAACATGACCCTCATGGTGTATGTCCGATATTCCAAGAAGGGAATCTTCACTCCATCCATGTCATTGGTAAGTTCTTGGATGTCTGTCTGCAGCTCCGCAAAGGCTGCGAGAGGAAGAAGAACATTAAAACAAATCACCACAGAAGGAAGGACTGGAGGTAAGGAAGGAAGGCAGAACGCACCCTCTTTGCACTCTAGCGCCACCCGGCTCTCCAGGTTGTCCATCTGCAGCTGGAGGCGTTTGAGCGTTCGGTCGGCATCACGGGTCTTCCTCTTGTAAGCGATCAACACTGCGATGATCGCGATGAGCAGCACGCCTCCGCCTGCTCCGATCCCAATGATGGCAGGCAGCGTCAAGGCACTGTCGGAGTAGATATGGAGCATGCCCGGGGAGTACTCCAGACCACCCACCAAGATCTACAGAAGACAGAACAAAAACGTGTTTATGACACGGTTACCTCCCAACATCAAAGTTTTTTTTTTCTTTTGATCAATTTCATAACTTTTTATCTACTTTTGATTATCTCACAGTTGTCATACCTTATTTCAAAGTGCCATAAAGACTCATATTGTCATGAAAGCTTCATGAAATGGACTCTGTGATCAAAAAGTCACATATTTTTCTTATATTAGCCTATTTTAACTGTTAAATCCAGAGTTACATTTAAAACCCTTTAGCTGTCAAAGTCCTGGATGATCAGACCTCATGATATCATACTATTATACTAGAGCACTTCTCTCTCAAACTGTAGGATTGCTCGAGATATTTAGAGTTTCCAAAAGTCGAATGGGAGACACAGTCGTCTGCTATCAGGCCTCTCTCCTGTGAAACAGCTCCCAATTTGGGTCCAGGAGACAGGGACATCTTATATCTTATATTTTATTCCAGTTATGATCCCATAACTGTGACGCTAATGTGCTTGTTTATACCCGTCCGATAGTTGTGATTCACTAATATTCAGTTTATAATATAAAGCTGTTGTGAACTGGCACAATATGAATAAAACTGTATGGAATTATCTGAATTGAGGCATTTTGCTGCTTTAAGTACAATTCCTCCCTTAAATTACTCTGTTAAATCCTTCATAACTAACACAGTTTAGCTTTGGTTAAAGAAAAACTGTAAAGTTTTAAATGCTGCCATCCACTGTGCAGATGTTACACAGTAACTTTGGTAATGATACTTTGTTGCAGGAGAATACAGATTTTCAGTCTTTTAAAGAGACAAAATTGTAACAAATTATACAGTTAATGTATAAACACACACACAGATAGATCTTCATGTTATACGTGTTTCATTATCTTTGTTGTCTCTTGTATTAATGTTTCATTAAAGTGTTTCCTCTTTACAGCCTTTTAATATCGATTCTACAACAGATGAAGGTACTATGAACAAACTGATAAATAAATGATAAAGAAGATATGAACAGACGCCGGAGGGGAGGGAGGCATTCTGAAATGATAATCGATACTTTTAATAATATATCAATAGTTTGTCTCGTAGGAGGTTCTGTTCATTGATACCAACTTCACTTTGAAGAGCTCTGTGTGTGTGTGTGTGTGTGTGTGTGTTTGTATACATGGTGTTGTGAGGACATGAATGTATGTACAAAACCACTACGTGGGGACAAAAAAGTCCCCATAAGGTAAATCATATAAGTGATAACAGTTTATTCATTTCTTCCACAGGCTGAGCTGTGTGTATCTCATTCATGTGTAAAGAAATGATTATTTCTTATTATAAATTACATTTTTTTCCTCATATATCTGAAAATGTTCTTGCTTTTGTTTGTTTCGTATTTGTCGGTTATGTATGGTTAAGCTTGGGCTAAATTTAGTCTTCAGGAAATGAGTGTAAGGCAGTGCAATGTCCTCTGAAGTCCAGGAAACATTACTCTGTGTGCGTGTGTGTGTCACTCTATGATATGTGATATTGAACCAATTACCCATGACTCCCTGCGGCTGCACTTAATGACTTTCACCTTTATAAAGACCCCCTCCTTTTCCTCCTTATCCTCCTACTCCTCCTCTTCCTGTCTCTGTTCTCCCTTCAAAAAGTAGTTCACGGCCAGGATACTCAAGTCCATGTAAACACAGTCAGTGTCTATGACTTAGACAAAGTCACATCAAAGCTATTTTAGGCTTGTTTTTCATGTGATACTTTAGTGAATCCTGGTAGATGGAGGAGAAAAGCCAAATCCACTTACAGGTATTCAAAAAACCTTAAAAATATGAGTGAGACCTATTATTCTCATATCCAGCTTTATAATTCCACTGTACTAAAGTAGCTTTCTATTATTCACAGTTCAAAATAATCCTTATTTTTCACATACTGAGTTCACCTACTAGCTAAAACAAGCCATTTTAGGTGTCTTTCATTTCTCCCTGTAAGCCAACTTTCTTCTCATTGGCTGTCCCTCGTAAACAAAAACATAAACAATAAATAGGTGGCGTTTCTGTGGAGAAATAAGCACATTAGACATGAACTCTTAAAAGGTCTGGAAAAAGCTGACAGAAAGCTTTTCGGAAGCTCAGTCAGGAAATAAATTCAGCATAAAAAAAACCTTACATACACCAACACAAAATATTTATTTGTAATAAGTTGATCTATTGATTTCCTGCTTCATGGTTGGTTCATTTTCTGTTATATAAAGTTGATGTTTGCAGAGGTTTTTACCTGTTTTTGTCCCTTTTATTGGCTCTGTGGTCATTTTTTGAATCCTTTTTGGTGTCTTTGATTTGCTCTTTGTGGTCATTGTGGTTGTTTTTTGTTTTGGCCATTTTTTAAATCTCTGTGTAGTCTGAAGCATCCTTATAATGTTTTTTTCCTTTTTCAGGTCTTTTTTGTATCTTTGTTGTCTGTTTTTTCTGGTTTCAGCGACTGTTTTGTCTCATTTTTGTATGTTATGGTCTCTTGTCTCTCTTTTCTTGCTTTGTAGTTGTGTGTTTCCTCTTTGTATTTTACAGTTTTGTTCACTTTAAAAACAAAATGTAACAAACTTCCCTTTCCTGTGTCCTGTAACCTTTCTTGATTATTTCTTGCTGTTTTCTATGAATCACTGGTTAAGGTAAGAATGAAGAGGAGATTACTCACCACGACTCTCTTTTCTCCAGTGATATCCGGTGAATCACAAAGCAGCTGGTTCTCTGACACGGTTAGGAGGCACGGTGACTCTCCAATCAGGACTGTGTAGTTCAGGCGGTTGTTACCAGGGGCAGGAGGGATCAAATTTTTACCCTGAAACACACAGACAAGTTTAGCTGAAACATTCACACATATACTTTGAATATGGAATGCATCAAGTTTGAGAACTCAAACCTTGAGGATGATGGGTGACCCTGGTTTCACCTCGAGGATCCCAGAGTTCCCCAAGGAGTCAAAGGTTGGGTTCGGGTAGTGTGTAAAGGGGGTGGAGTTAAGCACCAGCAAAGAGGACACCTGCACAGGATGAAAATATTAATGTAATGTCAACATGTTATTTAGAGAAAAAAATGCTCCGCGTGTGTTTTTTTCTCTGATCTGTGTGATTCAGGTTATTTTTTTCTTTTGTGCGTGTCATAAGCTTGTACTATGATAAAGTAAAAGCTGCTGCTTGCTGTGGGTGAGCGATACCTGGTCGAAGATGAAGCCAAACTCATCGGGCCGCAGCGCCCCCTCTGGCGGGTCGGGTTTAGTGTAGACCAGACCAGGAGCCAAGCATGTCATTGTGCTGTCATTGACTACAGTGCAGTACTGGAGAGAAAACCATGAAGTCCGGTTAGGACGAAGAATGCAGGGTGACTGCAGAGTGCTGACGGCTAAGGTCGCAGCTGAAACTGGTTTAAAACAACATCTCACAAACAAACTTCATCTCCTCAAAACTCCAATAACCTTTATTGTATTTCAGAGCATAAAACCAATAAGTGCTGCGGTACAGTTTAAGGTCCCGATCCTGAACTTGGGAATAACTGAGGTCAGAGTTTTGTTCTTACATTGTTAGTTTCCACTCCTCCATATTTGGCTCTGACTTTGGGCTCCTGGATGGTGTGCAGGTTGGTTCCCGTCACAGTTATCACCGTACTGCCACTGCACAAATAACAGACGCACAGGTTACAGATCCATTATCGTGATTGATTATTTGATTAGTGATGAGGAGAATGTGGAGGATTTACTTGAGGATGGTCCAGTTTGGTTCAATGCTGGTGATGGTTGGGTCATCCGTGTATGTGTACTTGGTATCTGTGCTTGTAACCTCGGCCCTATCAATCTTCAGACGGATGGGGGCTTCGCCCGTGCCTGACGTGGAGCTGGGAGTTATGCAAACTATCTCCCGATCAGTTCGTCTGGTGGAGAAAGAGAGATATATCATTGCATCTGGTTATTATTTACCAACAGATATATTACTGGGTGCATGTCAGAGTCAAGAGATCCCAACTAACTTGACAAACAGACACTCCTCCTTGTTTATGTAGACAGTGACAGAGCTGCCGGCATTCAAGTGTCGACCCATCACCGTCAGTCTGGTTCCCCCAGAAACAGGTCCCTTCTCTGGATGGACACGGCTGAAAGTCGGGCTCTGGAGAATAAAACACAAAAGACAGCGGTGGTACATTAAAGAATAAAAAACATCAAGTATCATACAGGAGTTTTTCCACTGTATGATAATTTATAGTCCATTATAATTAACTCGGCTTCCTCCATGCACTGTTAAGACAAGGCAGACCTGAAGATTTAAATGTAAGAAAGTCTAAAATTCCACGAAATCTAATCCTGATAACTCAACCTTTCAGTTTCCATCACAAATAGTGCGAAATGGTGACTTTAGTGCACGTAAACACACCAACAGGATGCTGAAGCACTCACCACGAAGGCGTACGTGTCACTGGAGAAAGCTCGATATTCTTCGTTGCACAAGCCGATGCAGACCTCTACCCGACCGCCTGGAGAGTGAGGCAGAAGAGCCTCGGCCATGTCACAGACGATCCTGCAGACAGAGAGACGGTCAGACGCACTCACACACTCCAACGTGTCCTCATACCAACATGCTGACACCACTGACCTCTCTGCGCTGATGTATTGCGAGGGGATGGGGTTACAGCGGACTCCCGCCACCTGAACATGGGCGATCTCCTTCACCTGAAGACCCAGGTTCTCCCCCTCGATTGTCACCCGAGTCCCTCCTTCCCGGGGTCCTGTCACTGGACTGATCTGTGGGGGAGGGGCGCAGCTTAGAGATCACATGACATCTGTTTCTTGATTTACTGCAGCTGCCACTTACTGTCTGTCCATGTTTTCTTGTTGTCTCAATAAGTTATATTTAAATAGGTTTCAAAACAGAGAAAGACACAAATGATAAAATGTCTGTGCAGTGATTATCCTTTAATAAACAGCATAAACTTAAGCAACACATCTACAGGTTCCTATGGGATGGTAGCGCACACCCTCAGGGTCTTTTTAAGGTCATTTTAGGGAGTTGTTTTAATTTTATGATCATTTGTGTTGCGTTGTGTTACTTTCCTTGACATAAACAAGGAAGACAAAATATTGTGAACACATGACTTAATATCTTCTAAAACATGTTCGACTCAAAACATGCAAAAAGCCAACATTACTAGACTGTTTATGTATTAGTGTTCTGGTACTCGTTGGGACAAACAGCATTGTGTAGTATTGTGCAAAGGCCTTGTTCTACCACACAACTGTACGTAATGGCAGAAATGTAAAATCAGGCCAAAATGGGTAAATTAGTTTATTGTTGGTTGTTTGCGATCATTCGAAGAGGGCTTCCAGTACTGATTACAGTGAACTGACAACCCTGCAGCATGCAAGTCGCAGGTTTGATTCCCTACCTTGGTGATGCGTGGGTGGCTGCAGCGCAGGTTGTGTCGGGTGTAGTGCATCCAGTTCTGTTCGGGGGACGGGCAGTGCTGTCGGAGGAGGCACTTCCTGCTTTCGGTGCACCACCCGCACTCGAAGGCAGTTGGAGCTTTGAGGCACTGACCACAGCTGGAGCGCTGAGCCTCACACTTGTACAGCAACGCTGACAAACAGCACACGTTTGATCAGACAGCAGCCAAACACGGCGTATCACAGGTGGAAGAGTCGTATGTGCATTTTTGCTACTGTCAGCATGAAGATATCATGAGGTGATTTTTCACAAAGCAGAAAGTTTAAGAAAAATCTGTTGATTATTTTTGCCTTTTGCCATTTAGTCCCATAACTTTATCCAAGTCTCACAGTTTAATCAGTTCGTTGGGGATGTGGTGTGATCACAGTCACTGTGGTGGGCCCACCGAGGGGTTAACCCGTCCCACTGGAGGAATTTTCAAAGAAACTTGCAGATAAATAAAGCAGGCTTTTTGGGATTTTGTCACAATCATTAAGAAAAGACGGATTGATCCGAAAGGTTTTCCAAACGTTTAACTTCATCCAAGCCAGAGGTCTAAATCATCTGCAGGTTTATGGGCTTTTAATGATTCAGGCAATAATCTATTCCAAACTGAAAGATGTTAGGCTGAGAAATAATGACAGGTTTTTTCCACAAAGTTACCAAACTAAGTGCACATACTCTCATAATACATTGTTTAAATGATACTTATTTTTCTTCCTCAGGCTGCTTATCATGTTTGGTAAAACTTTGCTTCATTAAATGTGAGAGTTGAGTGTGAAGTTTAAAAATAGCTTATAGCAACATTGTTTTACTGATTTGGTCCCCTTGAGATCAATTTGTTATATACGTAGCCCATGATATAAAATGAGTTTGACACCTGTGCTATAAATACTCAAACTCTGTCCCGACAATCAGCAGCAATCAGCTGCTCGACGCTGCTAAAATTACACGATGGCCCCAAAGCAAGAGAACACTGGAAGAAAATGAATGTTTGCAGCAACGGGCGAGTGGAAGTTCAGGTCTGCAAGTTCAGAGGAAACAACTTGTAGAAGTTTGACTGATGACCTTCAGGAAGCAAACTCTGGAGCGGTGTCGCTCTGTTCTGCTAAGCAGCTAACCCACATCGCTGCAAGCTTCATGGAAGAACAAATCTCTGTTCGACACAAATTTCAGTGCCAGATGTTTGCAATCAAACATCTAAAGGGCTTAAATGCGTGTTTGGAACAACTCCTAGAAGGCAAATAGAAATTTTTTGCTTCACAGAAGTATGAGCATCTCTTTAAGTGTTCAGCATGGCAGTGGATCGATCATGCTTTAGGCCTGTGCTGCAGACACTGAATGTTTCACTGGCAAAAGGAAGCATGGATTCAACCATGAAAGGACCAAATTCCAGAAGCAAATATTATAAAAAGCTATGAAGAAAAAAAATAATGAGATTTACAGGATGGAAATATTTCCAAATCAATGGGATACCTCAAGAGAGCCACAAAGCCCCTGCAAAGCCCCCGCTCACACCCAGCGTTAAATATCTCTAAGAGCATAGCAAATAGGAAGAATAACCCAGAATCCTGAGCTACAAAACGCCTTGAAAACCTTTCATTTGTGTCAATATGGGCTTTAAATATTGAGCATTTAAACATTTTTTGTTCTTTCTGTTTTCATTTACGACAAACAGAAACGCACACTTTTGTAGCTCTATATGTTTCATTTAAATAAACTTTATGTTTATATTTACTGATGGTGTTTCATGTGTTTCATATTCACCATACAAACTAAAAATTAAACTAGCCTGATTATAAAACAATCAAAGTTGATAAAAGCTGGTTCTATTCTGACTAATCGACTCACAGATTTCTGAAGACGAGCAGTTTGATTAGCAGGTTTTACCTTTCATAGACGCGGGCTTGTCGATGAAGAAATCTCCATCCCAGACAATGGAGAAATCCACCGGGAGATCACCAGCCTCGTCCCCTTCATACCAATACTGCAGAGACACAGAGGGGGAGTAATTTAAGTATGGCACGTTTTAATTGGGAAACGGAAAATTTGATTCTGTGTTAATTAACGGGAAGCAGCAGGAACAAATTTTAATTAAAGGAGGAGAAGAACAAATCGATGTAGAGAAGAGAGAACAACAAAAAACAATGCAAATGATTGTATATGCAGATAAAATATACTGAAGCCAGCCTTCAATAACCACACTGGCAACTGTAATAATATGAGTACAGCTGATATTCACACAAGTGTCAGTGCAGTCAGTATTCCTGTCAGACAAACATCAAAACTACCCTCCTGCTCCAAAAACAACTCTGAACCATCAAACCCTGAACTCCACAGACCTCCGGAGGCACCAAGGTTTTAGAGACTTTGCAGTAAGTCCTGGATGTTATCATGTGAGGCCACCATGGACTGGATGACTTTTCTTTTCCTCACCACATCTCACAGGAGTTCAATCAGACTGAAAGGCTGAGGCAGCACCTTTAACTCCTTGTCATGTTCGCTGAGAGCCCCATCCTGCTGAAAGAGACCACTGCCATCAGGGAGTGCCAATGGAGGGTTGGCACATGTTAAACAGTCTGCAGACTTTTCAGGGTCTAAAAAAAACGTCCGGTGTGCCGGATTGAACCCTGTGACGGGGTATACTAGTGACCAAAGCAATGCACAACAGGAAAATTGCTTTGCATGTAGACTTTAAGGAATTAAGTAACACAGTAATGGCAAATACCATACAGCAGACAGATATCCATCTTCAGGGATCTGAGCAGACATGTGCCTGAGACAGGATAGCCATTAGAGAAGATGAATGCAGGCCCTAAGTATTGCTTAACTGCAGTCATTGTTTAGGTAAGTGGTGCGCATCATAGCGACATCCATTTAAATAGCAGGAAGCCTTTTAAAAAAAATCTTAAATGTGCTCTTAATTATGTCCGTGGTGCTGAGGTTGTGGCAGATTGCAAGTATGTAACAATATTACTGAAAATAACACATTTTGTAGGCGCTACAGCAGCATATGGTGAAAGTCCCACAGCTAATGTTTCTACAGCCGGCGTTACTTCAGGTAAGATCTGTACAGTTTCTCTTCAGAGAAATTGAGGACAGATGGTGCTGCTTTAAAGAAAAAGATGGAAAATGGACACACACACACAGACACACACATACTGGATCGGTGTTGTCATGGCGGCTGCAGGTCTCTATGGTAACCAACAAAACACTGTCAAAGAAACAACATTATGGACTTAGAGCTGATAGGAACCTGATCTACCTGCCGGTCTCATCGGAGATAAACAGTGGGGTGTTAATGGAACAAAAATCTAAAAAATATAACCTCTGTGAGCGTGAGTGTGTGTGTGTGTGTGTTGAACAATACACTTCATCTCCCATGCTGCTGAGAAGACAGAGAGGCTGTGTCCTGAATATGTCAGCTCGACTCCAAAGGCACCAGATAATCTGACGTCACACAGCCGCACACACAGTCGGTGAAACCGAAGTCGGGTTTTCAGAAAGATTGAAAATCAATGTGTCTTAATGACTCTGGTCTGCTGCTCATTTCATTAACTTACATCACACACACACACACACACACACACACACACACACACACACACACACACACACACACACACACAGATTAATTAAGATGTGGCAGCTCTATAATCTTACTTCAGCAAAAACATCTACTGTAAAAAAAAACCTCCTGTATGACACTACAGGACAGAGTCTGCTGCACACACACACACACACACACACACAAAATTAACAAATTTCATTAAGTCAAAACGGGTTCAGGTCAATATTCCATCCTCAGCAAAAATACTTCACCATCCAACCACAGTTTTACGGCTTTTTACCTCACACACACACACACACACACACACACACACACACACACACACACACACACAGGCGGAAGCAGAGACAGGGCTGTAATTAATAAAGCACTGATATTAAAATGATCTTTTCTGCAGAGCTGCAAGAACGGCCTCATTGTTCATAAGTGCGAGCACTTTTGTGTCTTTGTGAGGCCTGAATTGAATTTCAGACCTCGTGAGGACATTTTGTGGAAAGTAAAGTTCCATTTGGAAAGAGAAAATTATCAAAAGAAATTACCAAAAATTGAGGACATTTAGTTCACAATGAGGCCATTACAAGCGTCCCCTCAAAAAACTGGGGTTGTGGAGCATTTTCTGTAAAAAAAGAAGAATTTTGCTTTGTAAAACAGAAAATGGACATTTATTGAACGTTAGAAGCGCTTTTAAAACAAGTGCATTTCAGGAAATTGGAGATATTTGGACAAATACAGGAATTTTTTTAAAAAGAAAACCTTATTTTTGGAAAAGATACATTTTCAAAAAATGTTGGTATTTTCCTAAAATATCCTCATATCTAGTAGTTAGTGGGGTTAAGTTCATTGATGACTCTAAATTGCCCACAGGTGTGAATGTGGGTGTGATTGGTGGTACGCCGCCTCTCACCCTGTGAAAGCTGGGATAGGCTCCAGCCCCCCCGTGACCCTGAAAAGGATAAGTGGAAGAGATTGGATGGATGGATCCTCATATTTAGTGGGACATTAGAGAAAAGTGATAGTTTTCTGAAAGTGACGGCATTTTGGAATTCATCCTTTGTGTAAGACAATTTGGTTACACATTTTGCAAAAATTTAGAAAAGTGGGGATGTTTTTGAATGTATTTAGCTTTTAAAATGTGTCCTTTTTAGAGAAGTAGTAGATTTTTCTATCACATGGGCACGTTTTGGAAGTGGAGATATTTTGGGAAAGTGAATCAATGCCGAGCAAAGATTTTTTGGGGAAAATTTTGTTGGACATTTTATGCAAATGTAGAAATTTTGGAAAAGTGGCAGCTTTTAGTAAAGTTAGCATATTTTTCAAGAGTACATTTTTAGAAAATTAGCATTTCAGAATGTGTTGTTTTTACGAAAGTAGGACATTTTTGTTAAAATGTAGAAATTTAGGGGAAATATTTTGGAAAATTGAGTCTAAAAATACTTCAAAGGCACCAAAAGGAGGTTGTAAACATGTTTACTTCTGCTGTAAAAATGGGAATTTCAACCCAAGAGTCTGTGGGCACAGACTTGTGGAGCGAGTGGCCGTCAGAGGAACTGCAGTTTTTGTCTCATTGGCTTCATTTTTCAGCCTGGGAGGCTAGATTAGATTCAGCTTTAGATTGCAATGGTTAAGATAAGAAGCCCTTGAATACAGTGAGAGTCCTCGCAAAGACATAAGTACATTGAGTGTGTGTGTTAAAGTAATGACCACACAGCTGAAATATGTGAAATACCAAGACCAATTGAGAGACAGAGAGAGAGATGTGTGTGTCTAATGTGCTGATTTTCCATTAAAAGCAGCCAGCTGAGCCCAAGAGAGCAGCATCATAAGTCATTGTAACGCACACACACTCTCTCTCTCTCACACACAGAGGCAGGCAGGATAAGAAATGAAAGGAGAAAGTGCTGTTGAACACACACTGGCGCCACAGATGACAATCACAGGCGATGCTGGTGAACGCAGCTCTTATCTGCAGCTCGTACAGTGGCAGAGCTCCAACCTGTCACATCTGAAGCTCACAAACACTCCTGATCGCACACTCACGCCACAACTGAGCCTCCAAGATGAGGCACAAACACGACTACTCAAGCATCAATACCCAAGCACCAAAGTCACTACATTTTAAGCATAAAACATGAAAACCGTGTGCATTTAAGCCATTTGTTGCATCACTTTTTTAGCTGGGCATTCAACTGTAATGTGTTTGTGCACGTATGTGAGCCCCTGGGTATGAACATTTTTAAATAGCGTTATATTCACCGAGTATAGGCATAGAAAGAACAATGACCTGCCCTTTCAGGGCACACCTGTATTCATATCCATCCAAAAAAGCCTCTATGCCAATTTTATTTGGAGTCTGAAGTCAGATGAAGGCCCTTTCACTGCACATTTGTAACATCTGGACCTATAATTTGTTTTGCAAATGTGCCACCACTCCACTAACAAATATGCGTTTTGTAAGACACACACAGGCTAGTAGCTGCTCGTGTGTGTAGTTTAGCTTTCTTGGCACAATGCTAGCATAAGCTAACTTCTACCAAAAGATGAGGCTGAGGACTGTTGGCATATCCGGTCCAGCAGAAACCATAAGAGTGGTCGTCTTTTCTCTTCTCTTTAGGTGGTGGGACGTCTGTACTTGTGGTTTCCTCCACACATGAAAGTGATCTGTTTCCCCCTCTCATTAGCTTCCTCACTGTTAAGCACAGTCTTTGATGTGTCACACTCCCATAATTTGAACCATCCAGCAGCTGGTTCGAGGCTCCCTTTGGCAAAAGGAATTTTCCAACCTTAATTTTTTAATTTACCTGGTGCGCTTCTGCAGGGCTGTTCTTTGTCACCAAAGACCAAGTAATTCTGCTCATAACTTTTATGGATATAGTTTCCAAGTGCAGCCAATGGGTAAAGGGTGTAAGCTTCATTGGCCACAGGATCACGTTTCTGCTCGTGTCTGATGGTGCGGTCGTGCTGGTTTCAACAAACAATGATCTGTGACTCACACTCGCTGTTTGGGATTAGAATTAGCAAGTCTGAGGTCATGGTTCTCAGTCAGACAAGGGCGGAGGGCACACTCTGGGTTCGGAGTGAGTTGTTGCCCCAAGTGGAGAAGTTCTAAGTATTTCGGGAACTTTTTCGGGAACTTCACAAGTGAAGGAAGGAGAGAGCTGAAGATTGAAGGATGGACTGGTTCAGAGTATCGAGTGGAAACTTTCTGCTGTGGTAAAGGGAGGGCTGAGTGCAAAAGCTCAATTGACTCAATTGATGAGTCTACCCTCAGCTATGGTCGTGAGTTGTGGGTAGTAACTAAAAGAAGGGAGACTGTGGCAGAAATAAGCTTCCTCTAAAGGGTGGCCAGACTCTCCTCCTCGTGCACTTCCTAGTTGAGGTCTTTCAGGCATTTCGTACCAGGAGAAGGCCCAGACACC